CCCATGGCAGCCAGGTAACTTTCAAAAAAATCGCTGGCAGCAAACTCCACCCTCTTATCGTAGAGCGAGTTTTGGTGGGTTTAACCCAAATCAGACCAATCGGAACACTTCTTCGAGATTCCAATTTGGCAGGAAACAAAATTACAATATAAAGTCTAGGTATCAACCATACCAAACTAAGGCTAAGGCCGCAGGTAGTACGAGGCGTCGTCTTTGACGGACTCTGTGTTTCTGATATCCGCTGTCCCCAGGATAGTGTACCTGAATTTCCTAAACTTGTTAGTTATGTTTGGTTCAAAGATAGGCTTCGACCTTTTGCCCAGGCCTGGGCTGCAATTACCACCGATAGGTGGGTCCTCCAGATAATTGAGGAAGGCTATTCAATAGAGTTTACTTCATTGCCCCCGTTGGGATATTTGAAAGTTACCCCAGAGTCTCCAGCATTGCTGGAAGAAGTTGAAACTCTCCTAGCAAAGGGAGCGATTTCTCGTATTGATAGTTCTATGTTTAATGAATGTTTCTTTTCTCGTTATTTTTTAGTAACTAAGCGAGGAGGTGGTTTACGTCCTATTTTAGACTTAAGAGGAGTGAACATGTACATTGATACAAAGAAATTTTGAATGGTTTCTCTCTCTATGATCCTTCCTCTTCTAAATAAAGATAATTGGTTTGCAACCATAGACTTGAAGGACGCATACTTTCATATTTCCATGGCTGAACATCATAGGAAGTATCTCGCCTTTATGGTTGGAGATACAGCTTACAGATTTAATGTTTTACCTATCGGCCTTAAGACGGCTCCCAGAGTTTTCACAAAATGTATGGCAGTGATTGCTGCTTACCTTAGAACTAGGGGCGTTACGGTTTACCCGTACATAGACGACTGGCTCTTGGTGGCGGAATCGCGAGAACGCTTGCATGTGCATATAGACCTAACACTCTCTCTCCTCCAGTCTTTAGGTCTTGTGGTAAACAGGGAGAAATCTCACCTACTGCCTGTTCGCAAGATCCAGTTTATTGGAGCGGTCTTGGACTCATTCCATCAAAAGGCGTTTCTGCCGGAGGACCGATTTACGTCCCTCAAGTCCCTGGTTGCGCGTGTTCTAAGTTCAAGGAAGGTGTCTGCAAAGAAAATCCAAATTCTGTTAGGGCACATGGCGTCTACGACTGCCGTCACACCTTATGCCCGGTTACGTTTAAGACCCATCCAGAATTGGTTCCTGTCTGTATTTCGCCCGGGTTTGGACAACCCCCATGTGCGGTTTCACGTTCCAAAAAAAGTACGACGCGCTCTTTTGTGGTGGACGGAGCCGGACAATGTAACTGTGGGTTTACCTTTTCAGAGTCCGGATCCGTCCGCTGTGGTCACGACGGACTCCTCGTTAAAGGGCTGGGGTGCACATTTCGAGGGTTTAACTGCCCAGGGTGTATGGACTCCAGAGGAGTCAGTGTATCATATAAATGTTCTGGAGTTATTTGCCGTAGAAAAGGCGCTAAAATCCTTCGAGATGGCGTTGTTAGGCAAGGTAGTTCAGGTGGTGACGGACAACACAACGTCAATGTATTACATAAACAAGCAAGGGGGAACGAGGTCACAGGTCCTGTCACGTCTTACTATGCGCATCTGGAAGTGGTGCATAGCCAGAGAGATTCACCTAATAGCTGTTCACCTCCCAGGGGAGGAGAACATACTAGCAGACCACTTAAGCAGATCCCCCATGTCCAATCACGAGTGGTCTATCAATCGCAAGGAACACAATACGATCTTCAAGATCTGGGGTTTTCCAACGATAGATTTGTTTGCGTCACAGGAAAACGCAAAGTGCCCCCTTTATTGTGCCCGCAGGAGGGCGGACCAGGAACGGGGTTGCCTAGGGGATGCGTTTCTACGCAAATGGAGCACCGAATTTCTTTATGTGTTTCCTCCGTTCCCACTGCTCCCGAAAGTCCTATCAAAGATTCGGAGGGACATCGGGGATTGTATTCTGGTGTCGCCGTGGTGGCCTCGCCAGCCTTGGTTCTCGGTTCTTCTCGAGATGTCCAAAGGGAGGTACAGACGATTTCCAAACAAAATAGATCTCCTAACATCGCAAAACGGGCAGGTTCTTTACCCGGATGTCCATATGTTGAAACTGACTGCCTGGAGGATTGCTCCAGGCAGTTAGGGTCTTCTGTGCTCTTGTCAACCCCGGTTAAGGCTATTCTGGACGCAGCACAGAAACCATCAACAAAACGTTCATATGTATATAAATGGGCGCGTTATTCCCGGTTTATGAAGGAGAGGAACCTTGACCCAGTAAATGCCCCGATTTCAGTGATTTTGGATTTTTTAGTTTCGCTGTCTGATTCAGGTTTATCATTATCTTCACTGAAATGTTACCTGGCGGCCATATCGTGGTATAGGAGGAAGGAGGGGTTACCCTCCCTCTTTTCGGAGTATTTGGTCAAGCTCTTCCTTAAGGGGTTTGGTAATGTTAAACCAGCAGTCACTCCTGTTATTCCTTCATGGAACCTAGAGGTGGTGCTTTCATCTCTTCAGAGCCCTCCGTATGAACCCATGGCCTCGTGCGATATTTCGCATCTCTCATGGAAAACCTCTTTCTTAGTAGCAATAACATCTGCCAGGCGTGTTAGTGAGATCTGCGCACTTAGATCAGATGAGCCTTACCTCCGGTTCCACAAGGATAAGGTTGTGCTCCGCACGGACATTTCCTTTCTTCCCAAGGTGACGTCTTCTTTCCATATGTCCCAAGAGATTGTTTTGCCAGCCTTTTTTCAGGCTCCTACTACCCCCATGGAACGTAGTCTTCATTTGTTGGATGTGCGAAGGGCAGTGGCCTTCTACCTCAGTAGAACTAAAGAGTTAAGAAAGACGCCAAGGCTATTTGTTAAATACAGGAAAGATACCTGCGGTCTCCCTGTTTCGTCGCAACGCCTCTCATCATGGATAGTCTCTGTGATCAAGTTGGCTTACAAGAATTCGGGACGTGAGCTTCCTGTTGGTGTAAAAGGGCACTCCACGAGAGCGGTGTCTGCTACGACTGCGTTCTGGAAGGGTGTGCCATTGGATGCCATTTGTCGGGCTGCCACCTGGTCTACTCCACTG